TCTCTAATATGGAGATGACGAATATATAAAATAAATAAATTTTAAAAATAAAAAATAAAAATTTTATGGAAAAAAAAAATGTAGACCCACACATGTGCATCATCTTCAATATGGACGTTTTATGCCTTAGGGGATACAGATATAGAAATGCGTCCCCCAAACGCATACAGCACTTTTCCTTTTTGAAATTGATGTTAGGGATGAGGAAAAACAATATAACATTTACCATTTGGAAGAAAACCCAACTTGTTTTAGGTGTCTAACATGGTGGTCTTTTTCTTTACTTTTGACCAACTTTTTCCTGAATAATACATAACTCGACCAAATCCGAGTTTACCTACTGAAAATCGGGTAGCATCGAGTCTCTGTCAAGCTCGTAGTCTTTGTATTAAGAAAAAATATATAAAGAGACCATTTGCTTTTGGAAAATTGCTTCACAAGGGTTGGACCGCATTTCTATAATATGCGTCCCAAGGTATAAAACATCCATCTTCAAGATGGATGCAAATAGGTGGTCCATCCAAAAACAATTGAAACTAAAGTCCAAATGTTTTCTTAATAGAATTATTGATTTTCAATTTTTTTAATTTATTTATTTTTTTATATTTATGATCTTCATATTAGAGATATTCTTAATAATTAAGTCAAAAAATCCATCTCAAAACTAGATTTTAAGAGGTGACTCATTTCTAGATGGACTCATAGAAACTGCGTCTTTTACTTTTGGACCCGGTTTTTATGAGTCCTCCGACTCATACTATTCTAATGTGGGCTCCCTCTAGCACGAATTTTTATATAAATCTTGGACCCAAATTTGTAGAGATCCATGATCTACACTATGATGATAATGAATATAAAAAACAAAATAAAATATTAAAATATTTGTGTTAAAAAAATTCCTATCATTTGGATAGGAATCTTTAGTTGTGGAGGTTCATCTTAGAGATGAATGTTTGTAAGTCAATGAGCTAAAGAGTTTGCTTACTCATAAAACACTTTTTTCTTTTTTACTTTTAATATAAGGAAGTCACAACCATTTTGTCCATCAAATTTCAAATTGGATGAGTGTGAGTGTATCATTTACTAGACTCCAAGTTAAAATAATTTTTTTCAAACTTTTTGACACATGTCAAGCCATTCAATTTGGCATTTAATGGTTGGTGCCAATTGTGACCTCTTTGTACTAAAAATAAATAGTCTCATAGTATATAATTCCTTGTACTAATGAGCACAATTTTGATTTTTGGGTTTGGCAATTTAGGGTAGGTAGTCCTGCGGGAGTACTATGGTGTTTATATGGACTTTATCGGTAAACTATCGAGACTGTACAATATTTAATTAATCTAGGATATTATTTATTGTAGAATACCTTTTATTAGTATTAGTAAACTTCCATAAATAAATATCTATTATAGCTTTTCCTCATATTCCACTTTTTTTTGTCCCCTTTTTACATGTTTTTGAAAATATCCACAGTTGAATTTTCTTTTGTTTTTGATTGAGAGGTGTCCCACTTATCTATTGTTTAAAAATGAGGGTGAGGGGGTTAGAACTTGAACCACTTTATCATAGTTTAGTATTCATGAAATAGATGTAACAAAAGTTTATATTTATTGTCAACCGAACATGATCCTCCTCCTTAGTCTCGGCTTAGGACCGGTCCTAAAGTGGTTAATTTTTTAGGTATAAAGCAAAGACTAGTACAGAAGTAGTTAAGTGTATGGAAAGGTTGGTTTGGAACTTAAAAGTTTGGATGAGAGGTATTGTGGTAAAAATAAAAAATACACAAAAAGATCATCATCATCTTTACATCCCAAATAATTGGGGTTTGTTGGTTTGGAACTTAAAATTCGGGATGTTTAGTAAAAATAAAAAATACACAAAAAGATATCATTCTAAAATATGGAAAATAGCATATACTTTTTTAAATACCTAAAAAAATAAACGATATTAGCAAAATTTTATTTAATTCGAATAAATGTAAGCATTATGTGTATAATATTTTCTATTGCATACGAAAATTAATATATCAAAAATTGCTACCAATAGTTTTGTAATTTGCTCCCCAGTTGCTATATATTAACATTTTGGAGCAAATTTTTAGGCATTGGCATGCTTTTCTCTCAAATTGAAATCAATAATTTGCTTTCACACCACATTTATATTACCAATAATTATCTTACTCATGATAACGATAGGGTCATCCTCAAATTTATACGAAAATGTTATTTTACCATGATAATTGTAATGGGCACCCAACGGAATATCGTGTGATAAAATAAAAAACGATAGATTGAATACATCGGAGATAATTATCATGATACCTACCGGTTTTATCTTTATATTATCAGTAATTATTTTACCAATAATTATTTTAGCAATGATAATTATAAGGGGAATCTTAAATTTCTACGAAAATGTTATTTTACCGTAATGGGCATCCATCGGAATATTGTGTGATAAAATAAAAAACGATAGATTGAATCAGCGTTTTAAAAAACGCCGAGTCGAACCGGACTCGCCCGGTTCGACACGGAAATCGTGAAAAGGGACCGGATCGCCCAAAAAATCGGAAATCGTCCGGTTCTAGAGAGAACCGGACGATTATGT